ATGGGGTCTTCTAGATATACAATCATGTCGTCTGCAAATAGAGACTATTTGACTTCCTCCTTTCCTATTTGAATGCCCTTTATTTCTTTTTCTTGCCTGATTGCTCTGGATAGAACTTCTAATACTATATTGAATAGCAGTGGTGAGAGAGGGCATCCGTGCCTGGTGCCACATTTCAAGAGGAATGCTTCCAGTTTTTGCCCATTCAGTATTATATTAGCTGTTGGTTTGTCATAAATAGGTTTTATTATTTTGAGCCAACTAAATTTTTCTTTCCGTCCCTTTGATTTGGTTGTACTACAGATCACAATGTCATATTTTAGTTTTTGACTTACAATATTTTACATAGGAATATAGGAACGTAAGAACACCATGCAACTTTATGGAAGCTTCATGTACTTTTTGTGATCTCCGTAGGACTTGCCACCTCATTCTTTAATGAAAAAAATATGAATATTACAAAAGATTTATTGGATCTTCTTGTAGAAGCTAAACAAGAAGTGCCTTCTTGGTTGGAACATATGGCTTATAAACACCACCACAAGGGTGGCAATCGCGGACAATCTAAAAGGTACACACTGTTGTGAGCCTTCACTCTCGTTATTACTTATTGGGGGCAGTAAGTTTTCAGAGTTAACTTTTCCCCAAGTAACGTGTTAAAACGTTATTTTCACCTATAAAACATAAACATTTTGGGCAAGGGGTAATTATTAGAAAGGGTGACATGGAATTAAGTGTCAGTTCTTCACTACCGAGTACTTTAGAAACTCTGTTAGAACACATGGAACAATAATGATAAGGTTCCCGTTAGAGCATAATCGAACTGATCTGAAAAACGAAATTGGGAATTGTGCAGTTTAAGTAGGAATACGCTGTTTAATCCAACTTTGTACTTACAGTGCCATGCTATATTTTTGCTTACAGTAATAGATTCAGCGGAGGATTTGGTGCTAGAGACTATCGACAGAGTAGTGGTTCCAGCAGTTCTGGCTTCAGTGGTAGTCGTGCAAGCAGCAGCCACAGTGGTGGAGGTGGTTACGGCAATAATAGAGGATTTGGTGGAGGTAATGTTATTTTTTTCTTGAGGAAGGGCTTTTTGTTTTTCTTATGAGTCCTCTTTTTTCAAACCATCATTCATTTGGGAAATTTAATTTCTGAGGGACACAAAGTCTAACCCTAGATATTAATGGGTGACTTAATGTTTCTCTCTTTAAACATTTTTCTTGATAGGTGGCTATGGAGGCTTCTACAACAGTGAAGGATATGGAGGAAATTATGACTTCCAAGGGGTTGACTGGTGGGGCAACTGAATCTGCTTTGCACCAAAGTCACCCTTACAAACAAGCTAATATGGAAACCACATGTAACTTAGCCAGACTGTATCGTGTAGCCTCCAGAACTTGCAGTACATTACCAGCATTAATTGTCCTGAAAATTCAGGGGAGCTCGAAGTCACAAGAAGAAAAACGAAAGGAAATAAAACAGCAGCCCTATTCAGAAATTGGTTTGAAGACTTAATTGCTGTAGTTTGGATTTAACTCTTCCCCTCTGGCTTTCGTCCCACCCCAAACTGCATTTATAAGTTTGTGGCTAAGGATCGTTTTGTTTGTTAAGGTTCTGTGACTTTAACTTTAGACAACTTATTACTTTGATGTCCTGTGGGATCAGTAATGCTCATGTTACCCACTGTTTTGACAAAATAAATTTACTAAACTTGGTCTAAAATCAAATGTTGGCACACAGGTGTGATACAACTTCAACAGGAATCATCAATTCATCCATAAATATAAATGGGAAAAAAACAAAATAAACTTCAGACAGTAGACTGCATTCGGACTGTTTGATTCTTGCAGACTTCGGGGTTGTGGGATCATCTTAAAGCATTAAAACATAGTGTTTTTATATGGCCAACCCATACTAAGTTCTTATTTGCTCACTGTATCCTTGGGAGGCACTTAGGAACTCACACTCTTTAAATAAGCCATTCCAGTGATGATGAAGTGGAATGTATCACCATCCCCATTAATATTTTTGAGAGAGGTTTAATTCAAGTAAATACAGCAGTTTCTCTGTTAAAGTTTAGGAAGTTTATTCTAAGCTAGGCAAATATGGGCATACTATCATAGGAAAGGTTTAGAGCTTTGATAAAATGTTAGGGGGAGATATCATTTAATTAGTTTTTCTATGTCTGCCATAAAAATTTGAAATGTTAGAATGGCTGACCATGGCAATGAATGACTAGGCCTCACTACTGGCCTGATTGGATTCTGGTCTTTAACTGCATGCTGGCATTGATGTTTTTTGGTCAAAAAGGAATTTTTACAGGAAGTATTATGCAGCAGGCTTTAATTTAAATGTAGATTCATATTGCTCTGTTAAAGCTGCATTGAACCTTCAACAATTTTTGCTGTTCTGCAGCCTCCACTCAAAATAGGAAAACAGTGTCTGGAGTGGACCTTCAGCAAAGTTTGGCAGACCTGATGCAGATGGGCCTGACTGTTAGGAAATCGATTGAAATGAATAGTTAACACGAAGGACGTCTACCCAGATATCCCATCCGAAAGTCACGTACTTGAAAGACCAAAGGTAGACAACTCCACAAAGATAAGGAGCAAGCAGCTCAAAAAGGCTGAACCTTCCAAACAACCAAAATACCTCTTATCCACCAAAGGATCACAACTCCATGCCAGCAAGGGAACAAAACTCAATGGAGAATGTGTTTGATGAATTGATAAAAGTAAGCTTCAGGTGAGTAATAACAAACTTCTCCGAGATAAGAAGGATGTTCTAACCCAATTCAAGAAAGATAAGAACCTTGAAAAAAGGTTAGCCTGATTGCTAAATAAGCAGTTTAGAGAGGAACATAAATGACCTGATGGAGGTGAAAAACACAGCACAACAACTTTGTTAAGCATACACAAGTATAGATAGCCAAATCAAGCAAAAGAAAGAATGTCAGAGATTGAAGATTAACTTAATGAAATAAAGTGAGAAGACAAGATTGGAGAGAAAGAGTGAAAAGAAATTAACAAAGACTTCAAGAAATACAGGACTATGTGAAAAGACCAAATCTGTGTTTAATTGGCATACCTGAAAGTGACAGGAGAATGAACCAAGTTGGAAAACATTCTTCAGGTTATTATCCAAGGAAACTTCCCTGACCTAGCAAGGCATGCCGACATTCAAATTCAGGAAACACCACAAAGATACTTTTCTAGAAGAGCAACCCCAAGACATTTAATTATCAGGTTCACCAAGGTTGAAATGAAAAAAGTGTTAAGGGCATCCAGAGAGAAGGATCAGGTTACCCACAGAGGGAAGCCCCTCAGACTCACGGTGGATCTCTTGGCATAAACTACAAGCCAGAAGAGAGTGAGAGGCCAATATTTAACATTCATAAAGAAAAGAAAGCTTACTTTTTTTCTTTATATCCAGCCAAAGTAAGCTTCATAAGAAAAGGAGAAATAAAATCCTTTGCAGAAAATGAAATGTTGAGAGATTGTGTCACCACCAGGTCTGCCTTAAAAGAGCTCTTGGAGGAAGCACTAAACATGAAAAGATAGGGCCAGTAGTGGCCACTGCAAAACCATACCAAATGGTAAAGACCCTAGACACTATGAAGAAATTGCATAAAATAACCAATTAGCATCATAATGACAGGATCAGATTTACACAGAGCAATGAAGTAACTTTAAATTTAAAGGGCCTAAATGCTCCAGTTAAAACAGATTGGCAACTTGGATAAAAAGACCCATCAGTGTGCTGTACTCAGGACACCCATCTCATGTGCAAAGGCACACTACAGTTAAAGGGCTGAAGGAATATTTACCAACCAAAGGGAATGAAAAAAAAAAAAAGTGGCAATCGTAGTCTGATAATACAGATTTTAAACCATCAAAAGATGAAAAGTGATAAGGGAATTGCATAATGCTAAAGGAATCAATGCAACAAGAAGAGCTAACTATCCTAAATGTATATGCACCCAGTTCAGAGCACCTAGATTTAAAAAGCAAGTTCTCAGCTGCAGAGAGGCTTAGACTCCTACACAATAATAGTAGGAAATTTTAACACCCCGCTGTCAATATGAGACAGAACAAGACAAAATCAGCAAGGGTATCTAGGACTAGAACCCTGCTCTGGACCAAGCTGACCTAATAGACATTTACATAACTCTCCAGCCCAAATCAGCAAAATACACATTGTTCTCAGTGCATTGCGCTTATTCTAAAATTGACTATATAATTGGAAGTAAAACACTTCTTAGCAAATGCATGAGAATGGAAATCATAAACTGTCAGACCACAGTGCAATCAAATTAGAAGTCAGGATTAAGAAACTCACTCAAAATCACACAACTACAGGGAAACTGAACAACCTGCTTCTAAATGACTACTGGGTAAATAACAAAGGCAGACATAAAAATCTCCTTTGAAAGCAATGAGAACAAAGACACAACATACTAGAATCTCTGGGGCACATTTAAAGCAGTCTCTACAGGGAAATTTATAGCACTAAATACCCATGAAAAGCAGGAAAGATATAAAATTGACACCCTAACATCAAAATTAAAAGAACTAGAGGGACAAAATCAAACAAATTCAAAAGCTAGCAGAAGACAAGAAATAACTAAGACCAGAACTGAAGGAGATAGAGACATGAAAAAACACTACAAAATATAAGATTAAATGAATCAAGGAGCTGGTTTTTGAAAAGCTAAATAGATGTTAGTCAGACTAATGAAAAAAAGAGAGAAGAATAAAATAGATACAATAAAAAATGTATCGCCAGATGCTGCAGAAATATCAACTACCATCAGAGGATTCTATATACACCTCTATGCAAATAAACTAGGAAATCTAGAAAAATGGATACATTCCTCAACACGTACACCCCCCCTCACCAAGACTGAACCAGAAAAAGTCAAATCCCCGAATAGAACAATAAAATTAATACCCTACCAACAAAAAAAGTTCAGGACTAAATGGGTTTATAGCCACATTCTACCAGAGGGATGAAGAGGAGCTAGTGCCATTCCTTCTGAATCTATTCCAAACATTATAAAATGAGGAAATCCTAATTCATTTCATGAGGCCAACTTCATCCTGATACAAAAACCTGGCAGAGACACAACAAAAAAAATTTCAGGCTGATATCCCCCATAAACATTGTTGTGAAAATCATCAATAAAATACTGTCTAAGCAAATCTAGCAGTACATCAAAAAGCTTATCCAACATAATCAAGTCGGCTTTATTTCTGGGATGCAAGGCTGATTCAACATATGCAATCAATAAACATAATCCATCACAAAAACAGAACCAATTACAAAAACCATGACTATCTCAATAGACACAGAAAAGTAATTTGACAAAATTCCACAGCCCTTCATGCTAGAAATGCACCATAAACTATGTATGGATGGAACATATCTCAAAGTAATAAGAGTTATTTATGACAATGTACGGCCAATATCATACTGAATCAACAAAAACTGGAAGCATTTTCTTTGAAATCCAGCATAAGACAAGAATGCTGTCTCTCACCATTTCTATTCAACATAGTATTGGAAGTTCTGGCCAGGGCAATCAGGCAAGAGAAAGAAATAAGGGATATTCAAATAGGCAGATAGGAAGTCAAATTGCCTCTGTTTGTAGACGACGTGATTGTATGTTTAGAAAACCCTATCATCTCAGTCCAAAAGCTCCTTAAGCTGATAAGCAACTTCACCAAAGTCTCAAAATACAAAATCAGTGTGCAAAAATCACAGGCATCCCTATACACCAATAATAGACAAACAGGGAGCCAAATATTCGGTAAATTCCCATTCACAATTTCTACAAAGAAAATAAAATATCTAGAAATATAACCTTCTAGAAATATAACCTACAAGAAATGTGAAGAACTGCTTCAAAGAGAACTAAAACCACTGCTCAAGGAAATAAAACAGGACATAAGCAAATGGAAAAACATTGCATAATTGTGGATAGAAAGAATGAATATTGTGAAAATGGCCATATTGTCCAAAGTAATTCATAGATTCAATGCTATAGCCATCCAGCTACCACTGACTTTCCTCAGAGAATTGGAAAAAACTGCCTTAAACTTAATATGGAACCAAAAACAAGCCCACAAAGCCAAGACAATCCAAAGGAAAAAAAAAAAAAAAAGCTGGAGGTGTTATGCTACCTAACTTCAAACTCTACCACAAGGCTACAGTAATCAAAACAGTATGGCACTGCTACCAAAACAGAAATATAGACCAATGAAACAGAACAGAGGTGTTAGAAGTAATGTCACACATCTACAACCATCTAATCTTTGACAAAACCTGACAAAAACAAGCAATGAGGAAAGGAATTCCTGTTTAATAAAGGGTGTTGGGAAAACTGGCTAGCCATATGCAGAAAGCTCAAACTGGATTCCTTCTTTACACCTTATACAAAAATTAACTCCAGATTCATTAAAGATTTAAACCTAAGACTTAACACCATAAAAACCCTAGAAGAAAACCTAGGCAATACCATTCAGGTCATAGGCATAGTCAGGGACTTCATGACTAAAGCACAAAAAGCAATGACAACAAAAGGTTAAACAGACATGGGATCTAACAAAACTTAAGAGCTTCTGCACAGCAAAAGAAACTATCATTAGAGTGAATCAGCAACCGACAGAATGGGAAAAATGCTTGCAATCTACCCATCTGACAAATGGCTAATATCCAGAATCTACAAAGAACATAAACAGATTTTCTAGAAAAGAAACCAAACAGCCTTATCAAAAAGGGGGCAAAGGATAT